AAGAAGAGGGAGTAAGTCCTTGAGTAGTGTCTTGTTTTAATTTTGAGCCTTGATCCTTGCTTGTGGCCTTTCTCTATTTTACCATGACAAGTTGGCTTGGACAGAACAACAACATCACTGCAAGCAAGTGAAGTGCAGACTTCTTGGAGAACCTGGGATCTCTGACTTGAAGCTTGGCTGCCATCAAGAGCAGAGCAGAGGGGCCGGGGATTTAGCTCAGTGGTTTCGCTGCCTGCTGTGCAAGTGCAAGGACCAGAGTTCGATCCCCGGTACCAAAAAAAAAAAAAAAAAAAAGGAGCACAGCAGAGGCCACTCCAAAGCATGAGGGTTCATGGCCAGCTCGTTGGATACACCAGGTTCTAATGGCATGTTCTAACTTATAGCCTGTATGTGCCATAAACCAATTGGAAGGAGTATTTATTCACTTGGGTTGGTTTCAAACAGATAGTGTATGTCACTGCTTTGTAGAAAAATAGGGTAATAAGTGACTGTGATTTTTGCTTCACTGAGAAAAATCTGACATATTAAACATTTTTTAGGGGAAGGATGAAAGAAAGAGCGGGAACTGAATGTGGCAGAAAAAGAGAAGTTGTTTTCCTAGAAGACGATTCTGCCTACGCCGTATAGCACTATGGGTGGGGTGGTGACTTGGTTGTCCATTGGATGCTCAGGTTGGGGGAAGGTGAGACAGATGTTGGCAAAATCTGAGGGCCAAATCTGTCTGAGGGCCAAGTCCTGGCTGCTGTCAGTTTCTGTAGGCAGCATTGTATTGGAACACTGCCGCATGCAATTGGTTCCTCTTTTGTCAATGAAGTTGGAGTCCACTTGTTCACATATATGTTGCCCTTGGCTGTTTTTGTGCAACAATGGTACAAAAGAGAAATTGCATGCAACAGATTGTAATAGCCCAAAGTATTTATGATCTGGCCCTTTACAGGAAGTTTGCCGATCCTTAGTTATAAGAAAAGATTGATTATATCACTTTCATAAAATATTTTTTGTGGGAAACTATAGGCTGAATGTATCACCTAGTAATAGCAACTTTAAAGTGCTGATGAAAATGTCTTTTAAACCGTTCTCTAAATGCTGTGTATAGCCAGTAGAGCTTCTTTTTCAAACTGACAGATACCTGGATTCACTCAGTCCTATTGAGTCACTGTGGCAGAGTTTGGGAACTGGCATTTTAAAAGACTTAAGCCCAGTAAGCAGGCAAATTTGGGAAGCACTAGCTTGGAAAATACCAAGTTTTCACAAAATACTTATTGAATTATATTGAGAAATTTATATCATATAATTGTGACAATAATCTTTACCATGAATGTAAATCAGAAGCAAGATCATTATGTGAAAAGCCCCCTTGAACACTGTTAAAAATAATTTCCCAAATAATAGGGCTGTGATTTGAATGTGGAACACTCCCCAAAGGCCTATCTGTTGAAGGTTTGGTCCCCAGCCTGTACCACTACTGGGAGGTGATGGAACGGTTAGAAGGTGGGCCTCGTGGAAGGAAGGTGGGTTGATCTTTTGGTGGGGAGGGTGAAGCGTGCCCTTGAAGGGGATTTGGGACCCTAGCCCCTTCCTCTCTCCCTTTCATCCCAGTTGCCATGAGGTCACAGTTTCTGCCACCATGTGCTCCCACTGTGATGCACTGTGCAGGCCACAGGCCCAGCACAACAGCGTCATATGACTATGGACTGAAATCTTTGAAACTATGAGCCACAATAAACTTTTCTTTCTTTAAATTGATTTATCTCTGGTTTTTATCACAGGTACAGAAAGCTGAATGCCACAAAAACATTAATTACTGAAAAAAATTAATACACATTGGTGCTAACAAGAAACATACTGTTAGTCTGTCAATGTTTTGATGCATACACATGTCCTTTCTGGATTGAGTTAGTATGATTCTATTGCATTCTTAAAATACCATGCAGTTATTTTGGATTTCAGTTGTGGGAAGGGATTTCACTGGGGTTTTGGATTTGTTGCTCTTTTAAAAATATTTGGATAAGTCAAGAAATACATCATTGCGCCCAAGAGAACATAAGAGTTGGTAAATAATGATTATGAGTGTGAAAATTTTGAATTTATATTATCAGACTCCAGAGAGCACATTTAGGTATTGAAATATACTTTTTTTTTTGGTACCAGGGATCGATCTCGGGTCCTTGCGCTTGCGCAGCAGGTGGCGAAACCACTGAGCTAAATCCCCGGCCCCTAAATATACTTTTTGTTCTTTTATTGTTTGACAAGTTATCATTTTTAGCATTTGCCACACCTCTCTTGATGTCATCTTCGATGCTGTGAGGTGAGGATGTAGTCATCAGTGTTACACCCTATGCATGGAGAAATCTTCAGGACCACGTTAATGGCTCTGGACACTCCTCTGTGGTAGAGATGCTGCATCTCCCAAATGCTGTCAACATCACAGAAGGTGATATTTTCATTGTGTTTAATGTGCAACTGTCCCTTCCTATCTCTAGATGGTTCTGCAATAGCTTTCACAATCAGTGCAGAAGAGGACGGTGCTAGCTCATTCTGGGTCTTCCCATTCTGAACTGTCACATTCATTAGTATACAGATCCTTCTTGTCACTGATAGCTTTGGCAATTTCAGTGTCAACATCAGCTTTTCTGAAGGCAGGCCCAGGAGGCTGGTTTGGTGGCCAGCACAGATATGGTATCCACTTCCCTGTTGTGACATAAGATATTATTAACAACTTTGATTTCTTGGGATTGAATAGGCATCATGAAAAAGATGACTGATGTCAAACCAGAACACTGGATCACTGCAGAAAGTTACATCTTTGTATCCTCCAGCCAAAAGGTGATAGTTGGACTTATTCTTCAGTAAAAATTCAATTAAGTTGTTAATACAGAATGCATCCTTCTGTAGTAGAGATAGCGTGAACCGAAGATTAGAAAACTGGATCCTATTTAAGTCCTTTATTCTACAATTATCTTTTGTCCTTCAGCCTGCTATTTAAATTTTCTAAGCCTCACTTTGCTTATCTGTCAAATAGGGATGACACCTATGAGCATGACTATTCTATAGGATTGTGTGGAAGATGAAATTGACAAAATAGATATGAAATTCATCTGATAAATTACAATGCATTATGCAAGTTGATATTATTAAGCATAAAATAACATTAAAACAGTAATGAGTATTCCTGGATACAGTAGATTTATAGCTGTATATGGCGGCACCTACCTCTAATACCAGCACTCGGGGGCTGAGACAGGAGAACTGCAAATTTGAGCCCAGCCTGAGAAACTTAGCAACTTAGTGAGACTCTGTATCAAAATGAAAAATATAAAAGGGCTGGGATGGTAGTTCAATGTGAAGGTCTTGGGTTTAAATTGCAGGATTGCAAAAAACAAAACAAAACAAAAAAACAAAACTGGAGTTAGATGTGACTGTTCTAATTGTGTGAATCCATGCAACTTTGTTGTATATAATGACAAATTAGCCTTCCAGTCATTTGATCAGAGAAACCTGCTAAATCCTTTTGTTTATTTAATATTTTAAAAGCAGTTTTAGGTTTTCAGAAAAAATGAATAAAAACCACAGGGTTGGGATATAGTTCCTCATCCTTCCCACACCCAATTTCTCCTTTATTAATATCTTGAATCAGCATAGTGCATATGTTCAATGGATGAGTCAATATTAATACATTATTATTAACTAAGTACTGTAGATTATGATAGGGTTCACTCTTTGTGCTGCAAATTCTATAGGTGTTTACATATCTGTAATGACATCTATCTCCCATTTCAGTGTCATAAAGAATATTTTCACTGCCCTAGGAATCCTCTAAACTCCATTTACTTATCCCTTCCATCTTCCTGAACCCTTGGCAGCCACTGATCTTTTTATTCTCTCATAATTTTACTTTCCCCAGAATGTCACGTAATTGGAATCAGACAGTGTACAGCCTTTACAGATTAGCTTCTGTTACTTGGTAATATCTACTGAGTATCTTCCATGTCTTTTTCTGGCTTGATAGTGCCTTTATTTCTATCCCTGAATAATATCCCGCGGTCTTAATGTACTACAATTTGTATATGTATTCACCTGTTTGAGGACATCTTGGTTGCTTTCAACTTCTGGCAATTACAAATAAAGCTGTTATAAGCACCTGTGTGCAGGTTTGCATATGGACACGAGGTTTTGGTTCATTTTTGTAAATATCATGGAGTGTGATTGCTGGATTGTACAGTAAGTGTATGTTTAGTTTGTAAAACTGTCAAATTTTCTTCTAAAGGGACTGTACCATTTTTCATTCCCACTAGGAAATTCCTGCTTTTCTGTTATCCTCACCAATGTTTGATGTTGTCAGTATTTTGAATTTTGACCATTCTAGTAGATGTGTAGTGATATGCCATTTTGTTTAGATTTATAATTCTCTAATTACATATGAAGTTGGTCATGTTTTCACAGGCTTGCTAGTCATGTGTCTTCTTTAATGAGATGACTGTTTGGATCATTTGTCTATTTTTGATTGAGTTCTTTATTTTTCCTATTGTTGAATTTTATGATTTATATGTATATTTTAGATATCAGTTCTTTATCTGATATTTTGCAAAGATTTTCTTCCAGTCTGTAGCTTGTCTTTGCATTCTCATATCATTGTTCATTTTTAATAACTTAACCTCAACAGCATGGTCAAATTTTTCTAAATACTCTTGACATCCAAGTTTGCAATTGTTAGAAAAGTTGAAAAATTCTAATGCTCCAGTCCTATTTACCATCGAGTACTTTTGTGGTTGGCTGAGTTTGTAGACTGTATCAAGTCATCAAGCCCAACACGGGCTCAACCTTAAACCTCACGTTCTTAACAGGGATCATCGCTACTGCCATCTGAGAGTTGGCTTGTAGCCTGTCCAAGTTGGCTGGGTCTGGCTGGGCTTATTGGAGCGGCCGACATTTTTGCTGACTAGTGTCATGCTGTAGTTGCCAGTTTGCTGGAATAGACACAGACACTGATTGGGTCAGGCCAAAGACATTCCTGTCTTGTGAAGCAAGTCTGTTTGTATTTTAGGTTTGCCAGGACTAATGAATTAAAAGGTTTGGACTCTCCACAACTTGCTGTTTATCAATGCCTCTGACAGGAGGAGGGTTTTCTTTTGCTCTTGCTTTTTCTAGAAACATGACAACATCCTGGCTGCTGGAGAGGTGAGGAAAGGAGAGAAGGGGTTGTGGAGGGAAGCGGAACAGGGAGGTCCCGTGGGACGCTGGGGTCTGGAGCAGAGCAGGTAGCAGCGTACTGCTGGACAGCTGTCCCTGCTCCTCACAGTGTCAGTGGCTGTTATGCAGCAGGTGCAGCCTGCCTGCTCACTGAGTTTTTACTCCACAAAGGCAACGACTGGCCAAGGCAGCGGCTGGCCCTGGATTACACAAGAGCAGACACTCAACTAAGTGAGGTAAGACAACAGGTGTGAAAACCCTAACTAAATGCTTGCAGGCACGGCAACTTAACCAAAGCTCTGTTACCGTCTCCAGCTGAGAGCAGGAAGCAGTAGCTCGTTTTCCCAGGCGGTGTGATGAAAAGGCAAGTTTGTTTAAGGTTCTCTTGTGGTAGAATCTGTGTGGACCGTAAAATCCACCCAGTCTTGACACCGTCCTTTCTGAGGCAGTCAGGTATTTTCTATTGTGCTGAGGGGCGGGATGTAATTAGCTGTGCTCACCAATTCCATTTTCTGTAGCAGGAGACTGCACCAGAGAGGTATTTACAAAATTCAGAGGCAAATTTCCACCTCTCATGCTTTATTTCTTGGGGGAGGAAAATCTTGGGAGATTTTCCCAAAAGGGCAATGAGCTTTACATCTTTAGATGTTATGATAAGGTGGTTTGGAGCTTGTATAATCCCTAACAGGAAGACTTTTCTGTTCAGCTGTAGCTTTAGGGGATTTTGCTCCTTTGTTTTGTCAAATTCCAGACAGTCTGTGCTCTCTCCAGAAACAGGTAACTAACAAAATGCTTCATTCTAAACTGAAGAAACTACATAGAAGCTTGTGATGATTACAATAAAACAAATCCTGAGTCAAGTAATGGTGATTTTTAATTACTCTTTTCTCAAATGTTCCAGGTTATCATTTCTTTGTAATTTAGAATGACATAGAGTGGAGGGCTTACTGATTCATTGCTATTTGTGGTCTTAAATGAATGGGCTCAATATGATCCTGAGTGATTAAACTGTTGTTGGTTTTTCTCTCAAACTATCCTAGGTGTTTAATATAAGTGTTTTCTCTTTCCTTGTACTGAGTATGATGATTCCAAATGTATGTATGTCTAAATATATGCCATATATATGCATTGACTTTGGCTCTATAAGTATTGTAAAAACAAAATTCAGTGTTCTGGACCCTATTTTTGGACACATAAAAGTTATGGGAAAAAGTCAAAAGCCTTGCTGTTAAAAGCAGTTCCCAGAATCTTGCTAAAGATGGCTAAAGATATTATTTATATTTTGCCATTTTTAGAGACATTTTCCTTAAAATACCACCCAGGTCTTTTGGTTTGCTGTCTACATGAGGAGAATAGATGGTGTAGGGGAAGCAAGACCCAAAATAGAAAAGTTAAATGTATGTGTTTCAATAACAAAGATATCATGTATTTATAATATCTTCCCATGGTCCTGCTGAACATCAGATTAGCAAATATTTTGGTAAAAGTGTACAGTATCCGGGCTGAATTCTTTTATGACACAGGAATATCCATGCATTTTTTTTTTCTTTTCCCATCTTCTCTGTAGGATGGTTTCCCATTCATTCTGTTTATTAATTTAATGATAATTTAATAGACAGGGTAGAATACCAATAGGAGATATTAGAGTTTTATCTTTTGCTTTTATCATATACTGTAAAGAAGTAAAACCATAGGTAGAAATATTTGCTAGATGTATAGGTAGCTAATCAGATATTTAAAGCAAATAATATTCATAATACCACTGTAGGATATTTTAAAATGGTCTTTGGTATCCTTGAAATGGTTTCATGATATTAATTTTTTTGTAACTCCCAGATCAATAATTTGGATTTAATTTAGGCTTTTGAGCATGAAATGATAGACTAATCTGAAGCTCTCCAATACTCTATAAAGACTATATCCCTTCTTCATTCCATTTCAAATAAAAATAAAACACTATTATATGTAACCTTTAAAGCTACAATTGGCTGGTCAGTGTGAAAGGAAACTGAATAGGTAAGGTAGGCAGAAATTTTTGCCACATTTCATTCATTCTAGATATGTATTGCCAAAGTAAGTTTTCACTAAGCCAGAAAAAGCCATTTTAAATGGGGCAAGTGGATAATTTTGATATAGGAAGTTTGCGAACTTTCCCTTTGAGTTTCTGAAGGCTTCTGAGTATTCAGAGACAAGGTGTTGGGTAAGGTGACAGTGGCTCTCTCTTGTCCTTTTAGCTGGAAGACCCAGGAGAAGACCGGGCCTCAGGTGCCCACATGATCAGCACAGCAAGGGTACCTGCGGATAAGCCAGTACGCATTGCCTTTAGCCTCAATGACGCCTCAGGTACACTTTGCTACGGGGGAAAGGGCTGCACCCCTCAGATCCTACCATTCCCCCATCTTCTCTAATTCCACAGATGATGTTTAAAATTGCATATTGCATGACGGGATAATAAAGTATATGATATTTCATCATGCATTTTTAGATTGTGACTTCCAGAAATGCTTCTCTGATGTCTTCCCTCATCTTGATTTGGTTGTTTTAGTTTATTTCTCTTTATTTCCTTCCCCCCTTTAGCTTTCTTTTAGAATGAGATTCATAGAGCTCTAACAATTTCTAAGGATAGCAAAGCGTGTCATTGTAAAAACTGTGTGAGGAAATGTTTATTGAGAGCTGGCAGGTGGTTAGGTAATACAAAAATATCTCTGTCCCAGTTCCAGCAGCATTTGTTGAAGCCCCAGTGCAAGCTGCTGGTTCTCACTTGTGTTTCCACACTTCCGGCTAAATAAATGTCCTTCAGCAAGAGTGATGAATGGGACAGGTGAGGTGGGGCCTCTTGAAATAGTAGGGTCTGAGGTGAGGCTGCCATTCTTAGAGCTCTCCGTCATGGCTCCCCTCAGTGACCTCTTAACACACATATCGGGTTGCACCACCTTTAAGCAAGGAACCTCATGTGGTGGGAGGTCACAGTGGTGAGGAGAGGAAGCCTTGGCTCTCTTCCACTGGCGTCTGCCATTGCTCTTAGTTTAATGTCATCTGTTAAAATCACATGCTCAAGTGATATTGCCATTCAAACCACCTCGGGTCTTTTGAGGAGTAGTTTTCATATTCTCTCTCTCTGTCTCTCTCTCTGTCTCTCTCTTTCTCCCTATAGAGCCCATGTTGATGTGATACTTTAAAAATGAGTGATTGAAAATGAACAAGATCATTCCAAAAATAATGTGAATTAAGGGGCTGGTCTCTGTATAATTCTAGTGTGACACAGCGTAGATTTGGAGTTACTACACCATGAGATTATAGGTGACACACCTACCCTGGGGGTTTCCGGACAGTGTAGCCCTCAAGGAAGGGTGTGGTCGAGAGCAGGTAGGGATGAACTCTTTACCTGCCTTGGTCCATTTACCCAATACTTTTCCCATGACCTGCTGTTGTACTATGTCCCCACTTGAGGATCTTTGTGTAAGACAATAATGAAAAGAAATCTTCCAACAGGCAAATCAGTCCACTCCAACATAGAAATGATAGCTGCCATTAATTGCTCTTCTCTTTTGTATTAGGAATTTACCTATATTATTTGTGATCCTTAGAACAACCCTGTGGCATAGGCATTAGAATCCCTATTTATAGAGGCAATGATTGAGGCTCGGAGACCACACTGTTAATAAGTAATGGAGTTAGGATCTAAACTCAGACTTGGAAGGCTGAAGTCCCTCTATTCACTTGTCACTTCTCTAAATGGAAAAAGAAAAGATTTTCAAGTTTTCAATGCATTTTATAAATCCCTGATTTTAAGAAATTGTCAGTGCTCAAGTAGCTACCTTTCATCACACACACACACACCCCACTCCAGAAAGGAGATGAGTAATTTCCATTCTTTGGGTCATGTCCTATATGAACAGAACAAGTCCTGTTAAAATAAACAGCCTTACAAACAAATTTTCAGTATATAAAATTCGTTTACCCCATGCAGTATTACTACTTCATAATTTTGGACCAGACAAATAAATGCACTGTATCAGAAAAGAGCCATCAAGAGGTGAAGCTGGATTTTGGGATGCATGAATAAATTTGTTCTCAAAGTAGAAGATGTACAACTTATAATTCATTTGCCACCATCCATGAACTCTCTTGATTTCTTTTTTTTTTGCATATCATTTTTTTATTGGTACGTTTTAGGTGTACAATATAATGACATTCATCATTGGAGATACGCACCTTTACATATTCTCTTGGTTCTTATTTTTTCCCCCTTCCCCTGCCCTCCCTTCAACCCCTCCATTGATTTCTGATTGAGAGGTTTTGTGTGTTTTTCATCAATGAATTTGGACTTATTTGTTGTAGTCTTTTTCTTTTCTCTTTCAAATGCCTCAAGAATGTCCACTTTTGAAATTCATGTTTCTTAACAGGTAGCTTTAAAAAGTGATTATAATTTATTTTATGTAATCCCTACCACCTAGCTGTGCAGAAAGATTTTTGTGAAGATGTATGAAGAGCCTACCAAAGTGAGATATTTTTATCTTATTGTCAATGCCTCATCATATCTCTAGAAAGGTCCTCTACCCAAAGAATCTACGGCAGGAGCTGGGTCTCAGTGTCTCTGGTCTGATTAAAATAATCATCTGAGACCACTCATCAAAATCACATGTTCAAAGATCCCATTTGTGATAAAAAAAAAAGTTCGGGGCTCGAACTCAGGACCTTGCATTTGTGAGGCAGACGGCGGCACCACTGAGCTAAATCCCTGGCCCCTATTTGTATATATTCTGATCAGTACATAGAGGAGGATCATTGTTTCTTTATGAAAGAAAAGAAAACCCCCGCCTGTATATAAGCATGACATGAATGTAAGATTTTCAAGGACTCAGAGCTCCGCACTTTTCCAAGCACATGAAGCTGGGAGTGTGCAGAAAGATGCCTTGCAGATATCTGGGGGACACTCCCTCTGAATTCTTGCATAAAGAGCATTTGGAGCATTGCAGAGAGCAACACTTGCAATCACACAGGCTGTGCGTGCCTTTTGAATTCCAGTGGATGTGGCCTGCAGACCACACATTTAAGAGGGAAACATCCCAGATTCTCATAATAAATGAGGAAACCAAGGTAGACTTTTAGGGGAGTAATTCCATATCATTGAATTTATTGTGAATGAATAAGCAGAGTCCAAGAGCAAAAAAGGAGATAATTTTGCTTGTGAATGTTAGTTAATATGCTCATTTCTTATGAGCCTAAATTAGTCCTCATTCCCTCCATTCATTTTCTTTCTTTCTTTCTTTCTTTCTTTCTTTCTTTCTTTCTTTCTTGCTTGCTTGCTTGCTTGCTTGCTTGCTTGCTTGCTTTCTTTCTTTCTTTCTTTCTTTCTTTCTTTCTTTCTTTCTTTCTTTCTTTTCTTTCTTTCTTATATACTCCTGAGATGATTTAGTGTAAAAGTTAAGGATAGGGCTTTGGAATCAGAGAAGCATGATTTCTAGATTCACCTTCATCATCAGGTATATGATCTTGGTTCAAGTCTTTCCATCTTGCTGGAACTCAGTTTCCCACAAAATATGCTTAATAGGGTTGTCGTAAGCATGAAACACATTATGGATGAAGCATTTAGTAAATTACTTGACACAAATTAAGCGCTCATCTTCTCCCTGTGAGTATGAAAACTGACTGTAGAGTGTTAAAGCAAATGTAAACACTAAGCACTTGTGTGTTCCACCTACATCTCACACTTATATTAGATGTCAATTTAGATTTTGTAGTGTAACCGATCTGCAGCTATTTAGGGACTTGTTATCCAGTTAGTGGATTGTGCATTTCTTGCTTCTCCTCTAATCATTAACTGGCCTTTATTTAGTTCTTATGTTTCCAGCACTCTGCCAAAGGTGGTAGAGTGTGCAAAAGAGGGGCACAGAATAATCCCTTCTACAGCCTTTACAAGGCAAAGACATTTGGAAAGAAGTCTGTGTCACCCAGAGCAGTTGTTCACAGCTTCTTGGAAGAGGTGATAATCAAACTGGGATTAAAGGCAGGTAGGCATTGCTTCTAGGTACCAGTTTTTTTAAAAAAATTGTTACCTATTTTTTTAAACCATTTTTCTTCCTAAACAGAAAGCACGGGCAAAATTTCAGAGTCAGGAAGAGCACGTTATATTCAGAAAATACTAAAACTGTAGCCAATTGGAATGGACATCTGAACTGTGGAATAATATCAGGGCTTGAGCCATACAATATGCTTATATTGACCACCTGTGCAGACAGCAGGAGACTAGAGTTACTGAGCTCATCTTAGGAGTTCAGGAAAAGTGTTTATACTTGGTTAGAAGCACCAGAGTTTCCAAAGTCCTTACATGAGAGAGTAATATGATGAAAACAGTACAAATTTTGTGGAATAGTCCAAAATGTACACAGATAAGGGAAAGGAAGAGGCTTTTTACATAGTACAGAGACAAACTGATGAGAGCCTGGATTTGAGAATGAAATTGGGTGGCTAAATTCAGAGCACATATTGAAAGAAGGTTGAAAGAACTTGGTGAGAGACTGGACTTAATGGCTGGATAGTCAGTCATTCATTGTTCACTGATAACAGAATAGGCCATAAGACTCCAAATACATTAAGGATTTCCAGGGGCTTAAATAAAGGAAGCAAAATTTTGTGGGAAAAATATAGGCATATAAGTAAGATATAATTATCATTTCAAGCCTATCATGACAACCCTTCATTAAGTGGTACTTAGCTATTTGCAATTCCTGGAGGCAGAGAGGCATGCTTTAATACGCTATTATGATCCATATTACTTCCAAACTAGAAATTCCAAAGAGTTAACTTATTAAACTAGAAATTCCAAAGAGTTAACTTCCTGTTCCTAGTAAAATGTATGCAGAAGAGAAATATCAATCTCACTTCTTGGGTTATTAGAGAATCACCAGCCCTTCTCCAATTAAAAAGAATTTAGAGTTGGGTGGACATGAGGATTTCTTGTTAATTACTTTATCTATAGATTCTTTATCTTCAGCTGTGCTCACACTGTCATGTAAATTTAAACTCCCCTTTCCTCCCCTCCTTCCCCCCTTCCTCTCTCCCTCCCTCCCTCCCTTCCTTCCTTCCTTCCTTCCTTCCTCCTTCCTTCCTGTAGAGGGTACAGCCCAAGCCAGTAGCTGTTAACATTAACAAAAATTCTTTCAAGCTCTACAAATTTTCAATATCTGGCACAAATTAATATAGAACATTTGGTTTAAAAAAATTCAAGATCCTTTCCATTAGTATCTCTTTTAAATAATACAGTTTTCTCTGCAAATGTCAGGGTGTTTTGTGGTTTAAAATTATATGATGCTCTGCCATGCATGGTGGCACACACCTCTAATCTCAGTACTCAGGAGGCTAGGCAGGAGGATCACCATGAGTTCAAGAGCACCCTGGGCTACATAATGGGTTCAGGACTAGCCCAAACTACACAGTGAGACCCCATCTTAAACAAAACAAAACAAAAAATTATATGATGCTTTAACAAGAACCTAAGTATGTAGACGTTTTAAAAAATAATTTTTGATATATTAGAAATGTGTTGGCAGCCTTGTATCACATTTTATTTCTAAGAATAAAATATTAATTGCAATTTAGATTTTAAACGACACTGCTCAGGACCTCTTATAGGTAAGTTAATTTCTTTACAATATTTCATAATGAAAGTATTTGCATTGATAGGAAAATAAAGGGGCAACTTTTCTTATCTTTAGATTCAAATGAGGAAAGAAAATCTATAAAATCTGAGATTATGAAAAAAAAAATCTGAGATTATGGCTGCTCCAGAGAAATCTCCCTTAACTGTGAGAGGGAGGACAAAGAGTCAGTGACTTTGGCCTGTGTGTTCTCTTTCTGTTATTCAGACTGTGAAGGGGAAGTGCGCGCGCGCGCGCGCACACACACACACACACACACACGAGGCACAGCTACTTTATCTCCACATTACCTCTGGTTGGTACATGGTGGAAAGATATAGAAAATAAAGTCAATTATATTAAGCACATTGTTATTATTGGTTATTTCCTGGGTGCCAGGCTTTAGACTAAGTGGCTGACGTCTGTACTCCTTGAATAGTAATGAGTTTCTGAGACGGGTTGAATAATCTGCCCATTTTGCAGAGGAGAAAATTAAGTCTCAAATTACATCAATTAAGGGGCCGGGGATTTAGCTCAGTGGTTCCGGCGCCTGCCATGCAAGCGCAAGGTTCCGAGTTCGATCCCTGGTACCAAAAACAAACAAATTACATCAGTTATTCATGTTCACCAGTGAAAAAGTAGCCAACCTCGAATTCATATGCCCATCTGTCCTACTGAACATTATACAGATTGGCTGTATCATTAGTGGTTTGGAGCTTTCATGGGCAAACAGCTCCCAGGAAAGTTGTTTGTTGCTTGAGCCTTGGCACCTAGGACCCTGCCAGACTCACTTGTGTTATTTTGTTCTCAGTGCCTCACAGGCTGGAGTCCTCTGCACTTCCCTGCAGGGGTCCTTTTGTGTGGAGACCAGCTCTACGCTCTGTAGTGTACTGTACAGCACAGCATGAAAACGCATAGCTCCTTGTTCAGCAATTATTAAGAAAATCTGACACTGTAGTTGAGCATTAAAGCAAGCATGGGCCCGTCAGATGGAGGGCTCTGCATGACCACACAGGTCATACACACGAGTCTGCTCTGACTGCAGGAGAAAGAGGTGCAGACCGGGATCCTGGGTAGGCCTGCTGCTTGTGTTCCTGTTGGGAATAGGCTGGATTTGGGTCTGTCTTCTGAGTGGCTTCTCACTCGTCTGAGGCCTGAGGTCCCTTCTTCTATGTGGAAATCTAAACTCTTCCTAGCAGGATTTAGGATTTACCTGCTTCCGCCCCACTTAATTCTACGAGATAATTGATCCCAAAGTATAATCAAGATATTGCCTAATGAAGACATTGTTGAGAACAATAGTTCTAAAGAGTCAGACCTAGTCTGGCTTTAATGAAGTTTTTATCTCTCTCATACAAAAAGAAACAAGGATATAATAACAATGAGGTCACTTTGGAATGTGTTTGCTTTTGTCTAATTCTACAGTTATCCAGTATAATGGATACCACTTTATCTTAAGATTCTTATGATTTTGTTGTTGAATGTCTTCTCTGTCATAAAGAGGTAGTAATAATATATGGGAATTGTTTTTGAATCATCTTCACCAGTTAAGCAAAAGTTGGGCTCTGGATTCTAAAGTATGACTCCCAGTATTTTGGAAAAATTTATACTGGTTCATGCAGTACAAGCCTGGGAATCCATGGCCAGAATTTCAAGAGAAGAGGGGCATGGCAGAAAGAGTTCAGGGATGGGAAATACCCCTCAGTCTCACATGGTCGCTAGTCACAAAGCCTTCAGTGTCTCTTTTCCCTTTTGGGCTCCTGCACCTAGCTTTCCTTTGAGGTGACTGGGCCGGATCATTGCTTAGCTCCTTTAAGCATCAGCATTCTCTGTGAACTGATTGCAAGAGCAGACTGCTAGAAAATAGTGAGGATCTGGATTACAAATTCAATGTCTCCCATTTATTCATGGAGAAACACAGAGAAGACAGCTTCAGGGAATTTGAAAACAGAACAACCATGAAAGCAACCCAGCAGCTGTTGGGTAGATGGTGAGACCAACCCTTCATAAAATGTACTATGGTATGTCATAATGGCTGGGATACCAACAGGAAAGTTCTATCTTAAGGACCATTGGCTTAGTCACATTGTGTTTGCCAAAAAGACAGTGAACATCTGCTTATTGAAAAAAAATCCTCTGTCATTCTTTCCTTTATATTTTATCCTTCAAGAATTTCCTTAGGATACATTAGGCTCAATCTGTTAAATTCATAGCACCATTTTAGAAAAGAAGTTTTCAAATTATTTACTTAACACATTAATAATATGATAAAAATGACTGACATTTTAGCACAGTCTTGGTCCCTGCTTTGCACTGGAAACTCAGTATTTGTTAGATAAATTTTAATAAAACATATACTTGTGCTGTGATCTTATCCTATTATAAATACATTTAGCAACTGATTCTCTCTCTCTCTCTCTCTCTTTCTCTCTCTCTCTCTCTTTCTGTAAGGAAAGCTAAATATCCTGGGGTACTGGAGAGAGGGCTTTTGATATGGCTACTGTACAGCCTACTCCGTGTTTCCGGAATTGTCAAAACACACTTAACTGCTCTCAGGAACTCTGATACAGTATCACTGTCAAAATGTTTTACAACAATTTGGCCAAATGTTTGTGGGACAGCTGTGCTACTAGTCTGGCTGAGTCATTTTCCTTCTTTCCTTTTTTCCCAATCCTGTGATTCATGGTTCTGCTTTTAGAATATTTACCTATTTTTAAAGCAAGTCAAGGAAGGCAGCCATGGTTTGAAAGTAAACACCCCACACATCAACTTGGTGCAGCTTTGTAAGCAGCTTCACAAGCCCTGAAATTTCTGGCAGGCAGCGTTGCCAGCCAAACCAGATGGCACTGAGCAGTGAAATGCAGGGCTGGCTGCAGACTTGGTAGTCTCCTTACATCTGTTTTTGCTTTTCTTGTTTCCGCTGCCATTTCCTGCTTGGGTTAATCCAGCTGGATCTGTTCTTTAACAAAAGTCGTACTTTCAGTTTGCTTTCTCTAAAACATCTATCTGTTTATTTTCATGTCAATCAATTGGATTTCTATTTCAATTCAAGAAACCCAATCTTAAATTTTCATTTATCTACAACGTAATCATTGTGATCACAGATCATGTTCCTCAGCATAGTGTGACTACAAATAATGAATAGATTTCCATCTGAAGCCTTATTGATTCTGGGTCATATCAGGTATTTATTATTTATATTACTATAGTAAATCAAATGGATAAATCCCTGCCCCATTTTAAAATTAAGCAGGAAGGGGTGTGACATCACAGAGTACAAGGTGGATTAAGTCTCAGGAAGCACTGAGTTCCATTCGTAGGTATCTTCTAGAATTCTGGAATGCCCTGTCTGCGCTTGTACTAAGCAGAGTAGTTTCTCCTTCCAGCAAGTGCCTGCTTACTATAATTATTAGGGCTGAGATGCCAACATATAATATGTCCCCATTTACCTGTGCCAAATCTTTCTGGCCTTGAACCCAAGGAGCTAAAATAATCATGATGTCTAGGTGTTTGAAATTGTACTGGAGTAAATTAAATGTACCTGAGACCAAAATCCAACTTTACAAAGCTTGAGTTTTATAATGAAGGCTATCCCTAAACTGGGTCTGGAGCCACAAGTGAATCTTTCTGCTTTTGTCCAGTTACTTTGCAAATGATGGAGTGAATTTAAAAGGCCACAGTGATTAGAATTTGTCACTTCTGATCTGAGAAAGAAGAGAGCATTCACAAGGCCTGAGGATTGAGCCTTCTGTGAAACTAACGTTGAGTAGCACCAGGAATCAATGGGCATCCATTAACTAGCACAGATACAAGTACAAAATGGATTCAAGTTTGGTGACACGTTGTCCTCGTTTTAAACTATTTTTAAATGGGAGTATTATTAATCTACTTTGACTAAAATATACCAAATGCTATTAAGTGATAAGACCTTTAAAGACGTTTGGCAGAGATTAACACCATCCTTGTTTAAATGATCTTTCTGATGATATCTTCCTGTTTTCAAAGAGATATAAGCCCTTAGAACCCGAGTGCCTCTGTACTCTGTTTTACATCCTCTCTGTCCCCAACTGAAGTGATGAAAATAATGAAAGCCTGTACAACAGGTAGTTTCACAATGCAGGTACAAGGCTGGTCCAGCAGGGTGACTCTCATGAGACAAAGGTCTCTGTAGTGAAGAATCATTTTATTTTCACATTTTAGATGATATACCTCCTGAAGACTCCATTCCTTTGGTCTTTCCAGAATTAGACCAGCAGCTACAGGTAAGGATTTTTACAAATCTTTCTGCTTTTCTCTTGTGTGTCTCATAAGATAGTGGGCAGAGGAGTAGCCTAACTGGACATGGGAACTTCCAGGTCATCAATACTTGCATTTCTAGAGTTCCAGAGTCAGCCTGAAGCCATCATGGAGTGTACTCAGTTATCTAACTATCCTACCAGTACATCAAACAGTGATCGTTTAAGCCAGCGCTAGAACCAGCCATTCAAGAACCTAGGAAAAGCTGGTTCATATCCTCCTTTGCAGTGGATATCTCTGGGTTGTTGGAATTTATTTTTGGCCATGTTTTGGGTTAATGACTTAATGATAAGCTCTGTAGAGAAAATTGGTCATGTTTGTCAAGATTGGAATAACCTTCCTTTCTTACTACCTCCTTTTCCCTAGTTCCTTGATCACTTTTAATGGAATTATTGGGAGTTAAACCTTCTGAAAAGTGTTGTGTTTTTTCTCACACAGTAATGGAATTTTATGGATTTTTGGTTTCTTTACTTGTACATGCTTGCAGTACACAGTGATTATATTCATCACAGGGAGTTGGTACATGTGCTAGCACATCTTAATTTTTTTACTTCCCCTTTCCTTCTCACCCTCACCCTCTATCTCTTTGTCCTTTTCCATTTATAAAAGATCTATCTCCTAGGTCCTGTTATCCATCTTTTATTTTTCTCTTTATGTCATTTATACCTTGGGTTTCTCATATAAGAGAAGCCATGCAGTATTTAAGCTTTGGTGTCTGACTTATATTTTCTAATATTATTTTTTCTAGGTGCATCCATTTTCCTACTGAAGACTCATGTTTATCTTTGTTTATGGCACAAAACCTGTTTTGACCCATGAGAAAAATATTTTGTGTACATAGTTCTGGGTGATCTCTCAAAAGATAACCTATCTGAACACATAGAGTTTTTTTTTATTATTTAAAAGGAACTAATTTATGGCATGTCAACTTTAGGTGACATATGGAGATCCCAGGCAAAGATGGCTCTAGAAAGAGGTTCTGCCTAAACTACCAGGACACTGGCCTTGGGTCACACATTCACCTGACTACTTGATTTTGTAGTCACATTTAGAAAAGTCTAATAGAACTCTTGAATTCTATGCACAGATTTTTTTTTTGACTTGGTCACCATTTTTCCCTTCTAAATACTGATTTTGGAAGCCCTTAGGAAGAATCTGCAATTTTTAGCTTCTAGCAGGTCTTGCCATTTTGTATACAGTTTGAGTATGCCTTACACAAAATGATTAGGACAAGAAATGTTTGAGATTTTTATGGTCTTTGGAATATTTGCATATATAATGAAGTATCTTGGTGGTGATTTTTAAACATAAAGTTCATTTATGTTTCATGTGCACCTGATGCACATAGCATAAAGGTATTTATTTTTATTGTTTTCACTATTAGAGATTGAACCCAGGGCCTTTGTACTGAGCTATATCCCCAGATTTTTATATTTTTTATCTGAGACATGATCTCACTAAGTCCCTAAGTTGCACAGGCTAAACTTGAACTTGCGACCCCCCTGCATTAGTCTCCCAGAATGCTGGGTTTATAGGTGTGCACTACCATGCCTGGCTTTTAAAGGAATTTCATACAATATTTTTAGTGTGCTTGTGTTTTGACTACAACCCATCACAGAAACCAGAAGTGGAATTTTCTCCTTGCGGTTTTGTATCAACACCCACAAAGGTTTGGATTCTGGAGCATTTTGGAGTTGCATATTAGGAAGGCTCAAACTTTATTTTATACTCAGTAGCTTTTCCTAATTTGGGTTGGCTTGGTGTCTTAGTCATTGAGTTTTGGACCTCTATTCCTGGATAGCTCTTGAGGAAGAACCAAGAATGAGCTGTCCTTTTCCAACTCAAGATAGCGCTTCTTTTAGTTCATGTCAGTTCTTATCTCAGGCCACGTGCACTGAGTTCGAAGCCTGGAGGCAACTGGGTCAGGTTGCAAGAGCTAATGTACCATTTCTGGTGACCTCTAAAAACTAACACAGAGCAACTCAAGTGTAACCTGGACTCTTGGAGGAGCCTTTATTTTCAAAACCTCTGCAGCAGTTCTGGGGATTGCCACAGCCCTCCTCTAGCAAGGCTGCTCTACAGAGCGCTCTCAGTTATGTAGGGGTTACTGAAGGTTGTGTAAGGGGTGAGGTTATAGTGATTACCATAGCTATCAATCATCTTCTCTCCTTCCTTTATTCCCCATGCAGGGTCTTTGACCCAAGCCTCCCAGTTTCTGACATCTAACCATGCTTTTCCTCTTGTCTACCAGTATGCTTTCTTTTCAGAGTAGAGAACCGTGCGCTCTACCTCTGCTGTTCCTCCCGGAAGGCTTGCTCTGTACACGGTGTTCCCTGCTTACGGTGTTCTGACCTCACAGAGGGGCTATCTGTATGCTGCTAGTGGTGTAAAATATTAACTATTGTCCTCCCTACTCACTGTGTTTCCTCATTTTATTGTGTTATTACCTCAAAGGTATTTCATTATCATGAAAACCAGATGAAAACAAGGAGGGGCAAACATGTTTTGAAAATAAAACAGAAAGCCTATTCATGTTCTTGCTCCCCCATGAAATTATGGATCATGAATTCTCCTCTTTTTCATATTGGACAAAACATTTTTTTCCAATGGGAGCTTTAATGGTTTTCCCTGGCCTGTGGATCATCTTCACAGATTCACAGCACCCCTGACAGATCTCCAGATAATTTCTCTGCTGAAGGATTGCTAGGCCCATTTGAATTTTATAGCTTTAATTTTATTTGGCATATATTGGAAATTAAATCTATTTAATTATTTTACTCCGTGAGACTCTTTCATCTTCGTTGCTCTTTAATGAGGCAGACAGTTGAGAGGATAGTTTCCGGCTCAGGGGTTTTGATTATCCCCCCTTCAAATACGGTATTGCTGTATCTCCTGCTGAACAGAGAGAGCATTACCTGCACTACGACTATGCACACTTCAGTAAATCCTTGTTTACCAGGTGAGGGATATGGTTAAGTTTGTGATGCTCATTTATCAGGTGTCGAGACATTGGGTTGGGCTTACTTCTGTTTACAGCTGTCGCATATAACTTTTATTCTACACTCAGTGACTCAAAACAGCAAGACAGTAAGGTCTGGGAGGTGAAAGCTAACATAGAAAATGATATTAAAAAAAAAAGCAGATTCTTATTTCCATGCTTACCAGAAAGCATACACACTGGGCAGTGGGGAGTCTGTATTAAGAGCAATGAAAATGCTTTATGGATAAAGGGAATAATCCATGACATGAGGCAGACCGTCTTCACAGTCAGTCTCATGGGCTTCCATCGCATTGCAATGGCTCCTGGAATCTTTTACTGACTATCATAATCCACTACGGAAGAATAAAGTTGGCTTACAAAGGCATATGAAATGCCTTATGGGTAGCAACATTTGTTTGAGCATGAACTGACTCTTGATTACCTCTGCTGAAGCCTTTTACCTTGCTGAGGGAAGAATAAATGATGCCAGGTTATTATTGCCAGGTCTGCTCTCTGCAAACCTTCAGACTAGACAAGGGGTGTTTTCCTACATCAAATGAGGTCATTCATTTGATGCCTGCAATAATTATATGAGCTCACTATTATGTCTCCCCATTTACAAATGAGAAATGTGAGCTTAAATTTGGATCTAAATAAATTTGGTATTCCCCTCTTTCCCTTCATACTGTTCTGTAGACAGAACGGGCTGCTTAAATTACTTTGAAAGGTGGAGATATTTTTGTTTCTGGTTTCCATGTTGCCATGGTATAGTTCTAGAACAATCTCATAAAATTTGTTCTGGCTTTCTGGTATCCATTGCACATTCTTTGGTAATTTATAAAGTGCAGGTATAAAATATCTATTTAGTAGATACTCTATCACCAATCTGACCCCCAAGATTTTTCTGTTGTTTTGCCAAGAATGTGAACATGTTTGAGCATGTAATTCATGGTGCTTCTATTTTCATAAAAGCCAAAAAAAGCCTCATGTAAGAATAGCAGTGACAAACATTTCTCTTGATGTCTCTATTAATGCAAATTGTTGGGCAAGAGACCTTAGGGTAAGTTAGGTGTTAAAATGAACATCTCTTTATAATGTTCATGAGGGCCATGGGCCTCCTCCCAAGGGCAGGTGGAAAGTTAATTTTATTTTGTGCACATTTCTTTCTTGGGACTAACTTTCTAAATTCCCTTTGCCCATCAGGGGGCAATGTTTGAGTATAGCTTGGTTAGATATTATAGTTAGAAAAAAGGAGGCCCAATTCCATGTTTACTTCAAGTATGAATGAAAAATTACTACTTTTCTTTTTCTTAGTTTTCTTCTATTTGGAAAAGAAGCAATTAAAGATGGTTCTGAAGGATGGTGGAATCTTTTAACAGTTCCAAAGTTTGAAGACCGAGAAAGACTGTCTTACAGCTTGACCCTATTGTTATGGTTTGGGGATTGTGGCTCAATTTACATATGAGCCCAGAGCTATGTTATAATGTGGCCTTAATTATATTGGAATGACAGACATGGTTAAGGACATGGTATCAAGTAAGTTAAAATAAACAACCCAATGAGAATTGTAGTGACTGAAGCATGGGCAGTGGCATAGACTGACCTGGCTTTGGATCTCTGTTCTGCAGTATTTTTGTGACTTGGGGTACATTATTTACTCTCTCTAAATCTACATTTTTCAACTGTAAAGTAGAGATAACAATATCTATCTCACATTGTTTTGGGAACTAAATATGATAATGAGTAGATCTGGTGCAATAGTTGGCAAAATAACTGATCAATTAATGTAAATGTCCTTCTCTGGTGCAATTGTTGATTGGATAAAATACTTAAGAGTGAGTAATTTATCTTTATATATGTAAAGTGAAATGAAAGAAGCATTCCTTTGAACTTTTGAGTTAGGGGTAGAGGTTCTGCTACTCTCTTCTTTTCATCAAACCAGCGTACTTGGGAAACAATGTGGCCTTAAGAAAAACTAAATAGAGC